TTCTTATCCCTGTGAATCTTATTATAAAACCAGAATTTTGATATCTCCATTATTTCATGAGATAGCACAATAGGTAAATCCTCGCGGAACAACCTGTATATTATATGTACTTTAGTACTTATTCATTTGTAGTCCACTTAATTAAGTTTAGTACTATTAAAATGAAATTGACAATCAGTAGCTTGTTTTAAAAATCTACATCTTATCTTGTCATGAATCTACAGACAATCTAAATTTTATAAATGTGTTAATGTGATAAAACTTAGAAATCATGATAAATTTATATTATATAAGATTATATATTATAGTATCAATTATAATATTATTTGTTTAAGTATTTATTTGTGGATCGTTTGAATTATAGTTTTGTTTGAAATCATTATTATACTATTATTGTAATTATTATTATCATTGTTAGTTGGTAGTATATAGGTACATAGAACTGATACAAATTTATAATAATAGAATTAATGATAAATTAACGTTATACATAAATATTTATTTTTCGGCTGAATAAATGACTGGAAGTGTTAAATTTTTTTCTGTTTGGTCCCTAACTAAAATAATATTCTTAATCAATAATTGAATTTTTAACTTTTAATTAATTTTGATTTAATATAGGAAACAAAGAAGCAATATTTATCGTCACAAAAATTAAAAAACGATTATTTATTAGTTTTGTTTCTTTTACAACGCTAGATAGGTATTTAACGGAAGGGTAAATATAATATTCTTTTATCTAAAAAGATAAAAATTAGGCTATCGAAATTAATTTTTCTTTCAATGTAAAACGTACGTAATAATATTAAAAATTATACTACCTTTTATTTTTTAATATTATGGTTATAATATTTTTATTTAAATTATAAATTATAAATTTCTATATCATATTAAAATGATATATTAATATTACGGATATTACATACCTGTATTTAACTAACAAATAAAAATACAACGATAAAAACTAATGCTATTTTATAATACTCGAGCTTAGTGTAGCTTATGTTTAAATTGTTAACTCGTAAAATATTTTATGATTAGGATACACTATAAGAAAAGTTGTGAACATATTTTATGTTTTTATAGATTGAAGATATAGAACGTACCATTTCTTGGATTTGTATTTTATCTTATTCTAAAAGCTCTGGGAGTAATGGCGTACCCGTGGAGGGGTATGAAGGGGTTAACCACCTCGCCACTATTGTTAGATAAATATAAATCACTTTATTTGTGACTTTGGAATTAACACCACTACTATTCATTTAAATGTATAAATAATTATAATACCCAATACCTCTATTGAAAATGCCTATACACGCCACTGCCCAGGAGTAAAGTCATATGTACATATCTTGCAGAAGGAATCAATGATATGTTGGGTACGCATAATATTTGATAATAGTTTGTAAAATAAAGAGTTACATAAATAATTAATTAATTATAATTTTAAATATTATATATTATTCAACAACATATCGTTCTATGTACCTGTAGACTATATATAGCTATTATTTTATGTACCTACTATTGATTTTCCAATATTAAAGTTAATTACCTATTGATATCTAATATGGTTGCATGATATACTCGTTTTCATTTTATATAGTTACCTAAACATCTATACAAAAAGTTTAATTTTCTAATTATTTAAGATCAGATGAAACTATTTAGAATGGWTTAATTAAAGTACTACCAATAAACACCAYTATATGACACTATATCACAGATTAGTCTATGTCTATATGTCCAATAATAAAATCATTAATATTTATAACCTATTTATASATWCGAAATGGGACAGATATCAGTGGTCGTTTCGCCGTATTATTATACACATTAAATTATTATTAAATTAATAATTATACACAATAATATCATTCAAGATGAATTTAAACTTATTTCAGTGTATAATAATAATTATTATAGTAGGTGATTGTTCGACCAAGGCAAAATGGCTACTATTAAATTGGCTCTCATTTTAGATAMATTTGAAGTCGACCCTTGAATTACCTCCTGAAAAATGTATAATTTAATTAGCTCCCTAAACTGTAAAATATTATTTAACCAGGGGCTCTCATATAATAAGTATTTATGTGTAATCATCATTCGCGGCCAATGACCTATGTTGTCGAGGCCTTGTTCTTTATAATAAAAAAAAAAAAAAATAAGTATTTACTTTCACAACGTCAACCAAACCTAGCCTGGCAGTTTGCACTCAAATATAGTCCAATATATGATCTATATATTAGTTAATAAGTATAGAATTCAAAAATCGGGTAAGTGGATGTCGCTCTGCTGTACATTAGGGAGTGGGATGGACCTCTGACTAGGGTAGGTTAAATTTGAATGCAATGATAGGTATTATTGTATACGAAAAACGATTCTGAACGGAGATGATTTGTCAGTCCAGGATATATTATATTTAAATATTGTCATATTTTCTATTTTGAAACAAATATTTTATTTTTCAATTAGGACGCATTTTGCATAAGGCGTGGTTTATCAATTTTTCCAAAACCATTGCATGTAGTTATCATAATTCATAATACCTTATATTATTATCATAGATATACATATAGCCATATACGTACCTGGTTTGAGGATAAATCGTTATCGTTACGCATTTTCAAAAAAAATTAAAACTCAAACGCTCAAAACATTTTTGCTATAATTACACTTCAAATTTTCTCTAAAGCTATTTGAAGCAAAACTTATGGAAAACTTAGTGTTAAATTTTTTAAGCTTAGATATAAATATG